TCGTTAACCAATTTGCTACGTTGCCAAAATTGGAGCGGGAAACTTAAAAAAATGATTAATTAATTCATTTCTGGTAATAATTATAATAATAATAATAATAATAATAATTTATTTGCAGTATTACAGGTAAATTTGCATTAAATACATAAATTTTATCGAACAAAATAGTATAATACTACAAAAAGGGAATAGCAGACAGCATAGTTGATATTAATTGCTATCCCTAATAAAGAAAAGAAAAATATTAAAATAATAAAATACAACGAATAAAGTGTGGCACAATCGAGACAAAAATATAAATACACATTTTATAAATGTAATATTACATTTTATTATAATATCTAATGGTTGTTTTGACTAGATATTTTCTGACATCAAGAGATGTTTATACTTTTGCTTAAACATATTTGTCGAAAGATGTTTGAGTTTAGGAGGAACCAGGTTATATAGTTTAAATATCATATAAGAGAATGAACCTTGAAATTTGGAGGTACGATGGAGAGGTGGAGATATATGCCCTCTAAACCTTGTATGCACATTATGCACATCACTTCGAAATGTAATTTTATTATAGAGATAAGGAGGCGACTTTAATGAAATGATCTTATGATACAATGTTACCATGTGTAAATTCCTTCTAGTTTCCATATTTAACCAGTTAGTTTCAATTAGTTTGTGACTTATCCTTTCGTATTTTTTTATACCATATATGTAGCGAAGACAAGAATTTTGTACTCTTTGAATACGATTAATATCCACATAGTCAATACAAGGCCCGTAGACAACATCGCAGTAATTAAAATGACTGAGAACCATAGTATCACAAAGAAGTATTTTTATATTTTGATCTAAAACATGGCGATGCGGGTAAAGCATTTTCAAATTAGCGTAAGCCCTTTTTATACAATTATTTACATGGCTTTTAAATTTTAAGTCAGTATCAAGATGAAGAACCAGATTTTTGGCAACATCTACACAAGCCACCAAGACACCATCAATACTCACAGATAAATGTTCTGCTAGTTCTTTTTTATTTTTTCCAAAAACGAGTATTTGTGTTTTTGCGGGATTGATAGTTAGCTGATGTCTGTTAGAAAAATTTACGATTTTTATTAATTCTGAGTTAATCAGAGCAACATTAAAATCAGACAAAGAAAACCTTATTTGCGTATCATCAGCATATATATAAACTCTGCCATTGGTAAGAGCCGAACTAATATTAGTAGAGTAAATGCAAAACAAAATTGGTCCCAAAATAGAGCCCTGTGGCACACCGCAGGCAATATTTTTAATATCAGATCTACCGGCACTTGTTTCAACAAACTGTGAACGATCGGAAAGATAGTTTTTAATAAATTCAGTTGCTTTAACCGAAAAACCAACATAGTGAAGAATACTGAACAGAAGCTGATGGTTAATTGTATCAAAGGCTTTTGTATAATCTAGAAGTATTAAAACGTTTGTATACCCTTTGTCTATATCCCTAAAGATATCATCGGTGACCTCTAATAATGCTGAAGTACAGCTGTAGCCACGTCTGAAACCAGATTGGCTGATTGGTAAAATATTGTAATTGTTGATGTGAGACTCTATCTGATATTTAATTACTTTTTCCAGAACTTTTGATAACACTGATAAGATTGAAATGGGTCGTAATTCACTAAAGCTACTAATATTGTTCTTTTTAGGCAATGGGAAAACTTTTGTGACTTTCCAAAGGCCTGGAAAAAAAGATTCCTTTATACAGGAATTAACAATATTCGTAATGAAAATTAAAATATACGGAAAACACATAAGGAGCATATTAATTTGCAATCCATCAATTCTTATAGCCTGCGTTTTAATTTCGGTTAAATACTTATAGATAGTATTTTGATTAACTGTTGTAAAACTTAGCAAGTTACGGAAGTTGTCTTTAAAATTATTAGTATAGAAAAGATGATCTAAGATGAGAAATATCTAAGATAAAAAATTGTATGAATTATAGGTATTCGGTTTAAGTTCTAAAGTAGACAATTTTAAAGTTATTTTAAGTGTTTTTAGGTACAAAGAGAATAAGTGAAATTACAAAATTTGTTTTAGAGGTTCGTTTCGTTAAAAAAAAAAAACTATTAAATTACAAAAATAAATTTTGTACAGAATTTTAAAGCAATGTACTTTTATAAATCTTTCTACATATTTTTACACCAGAAATATCTTTCTACCTCATGGAAAAATATTATTAGTATATTAAAGAAGAAAAAAAGGAAGCCATATAGTTGATCCAGTTTGATAAAATTGTGTTTTTGATTATTTTTCGAAATTAAAAACAAAATAATAACGATTTCTTCAAATTATTGAGGGCTTATATCAGGAGTAGAGAAAAAATTAAGAAGCAATTAGAAATATAACTAAAAACAGTCCTGCAAACTACACGAAGTCAATTTGCTCTTTTTACATCAGAAGCAAGTAAAAAGCATACCTTTTTTGGCTTAAACCCTCTACATCGGAAAATCAAACATGTCTAACGACCCCATTGTGTGTCTTTTCCTCCCAACTTCCACTCGATATTTTTTTTGTTCCACATCAGTAGATTCTCTTAAACTCCGGAGTTTTCAGCCATATAACACGGGAGTTCCGATGAACAATTTCCAAATTACACCGTTCCTGTTTAGGAACTTTCCGACAATTTCCATAGAGAGTTCGGCCTGGAAAACTCTCCAATTGGCTTTATTGTAGGAAAATGGAGACAAAAACTAAATGGGAGTGCTATGCGGTTGCATATAAAACGTTCAAGAATGCAGCGAGAATGAGGGAGAGAAACATTGTTTTATGTTAATTTTGCTGCTTGTAATTAGCTGGGAAACGTTTTGTCGGCCATGTTTGTTGAGTTTAAAGTATGTATTTTCTAGCTTAGCTCCATTTGAAGTACAATGCACACAAATTTAAAATAACGCCCCAAATTTGTATTACGTTCATATGTGAGTACACAGGATATCAAAAATGGTTGTCTATATTGCATTACATGCTTTACATAATTTTTTTTACATTGTTAAAGAAAAAACATTTTTTACATGCAAAAATATCCAAGCTGTCTTGAATTTTATGATATTTTTGAACAGATTGGTACATTGGAGATGAGTTCAAAACATTAGTTCTAAAACCTGGCATGTAGAAACTCAAGTAAAATCTTAAACCAGCTCGAGGGATTTTTAGATTAACGCAGTTTAACAAATCAATACTGTCGACTGAGCCATTTAAAAGATTATAAAGTAGGAGTACCTGTTGGAAATTTCTGCGTATCACGAGCTCTGAACGATTTAATCTAGATATTAGTAAATCGTGGGGATAGTTGAAAATTTTTTGTGATTTTTTAATATTAATTTCTCAATAAATTCCACGGTAACCTATATATTTTATTGTAAAAAACAAAACCTAAATATTTCAAAAACCTTATTTTTAGTTTTTTTCTACTCCATCTAATCAATAAATAATAGTATACTTAATTATAATTCGAAAATTGTTGTTGAGGTCTTACTTTCTCGTAAGACATTGTACAAATACTCACATTTTTAAAAAAAAAATTTCAAAAATTTGCACGGTAAGGTATAGTTAAAAGTTCACTATTAGATAAATAAGGACTTCAACTATTTAGTCATATTCTAATATTTTTTATTTAACATTGGTGGCGAAAGGACCTCCTTAAGTAGATTGTTCGATTTTGCACTTTTACAAGGTTTTATTTATACGTACAACTATGGAAAATGCAGTAGCAAGTGGTAGTGTAGTACAGACCCAGTGCGCGCAAGAGCGAAAATTAAAGAAAACACCAAAAGACAGTATAATAAAACTGGCCAAAGTAAAAGGCGATGAGCATATTAATCATAAAGGAAAACTTATAGAAAAACGCACTGTTGCGAAAAAACTGCAGGTAAATAATAGCTTTTATGACAAAACTTAATATTTTGCCTACATTTTTTTTTTCTATAGATGTAAATGGCTCAAGTGTGTTGAAAAAATGCTATTATTGCGTACTCTCATTTGGAAAATATATTATTTTCGAGAAATTCGGTTCCCTCGTCTGAAATAAAAAACAATGGGCCCCACACGACTTTGCCCTTAAGTACGACGCCGGCCTGAATGCACATGGTTTAATCAAAAAGTCACTTTCAGAATTTATATGGAAAAATCAAGTATACAATAAGAACAAAAATTTAAGAACCTAACCTAACCAAAAAAAATTAATAACCTTTATTAAACATTTGTTGCACTCTAGATCGCATTTATAACATATACCTCTAAAGCTTCTTTTATTCGCCCTCTATTAATGACAATATCTGCTTTAATCTTCCCGTTTCTATTGTTCGTGAACGGAATAAAACGTCATGCGACTTTTCCATTGAAAATCTCCGGATTTTCCCGCATACAATTCAAAATAAGAAGCCTACTTATAGAGAACGGCTTACTTTTGACAAACAATTGAACTTCGCGAGTATTAAGAACGGGGGTAATTGAGGGTGGTAATCGACAAATGCGATTAGAAGTGTACCAGAAGGAGAAAGGGATAGTTTACAGGTAGGTATCTCAATCGCGAAGGCATTAGAAGTTCGAATATCGTCGATCGACAGGTGTCTTGGAAATATTAATAATAAACACGTCTATTACTCAATATTAATAAGAAAAAAAAACTTTTAAATATAGCGAAATATTGAATAAATGGCAGATTCGAGTCTTTTAGATTTAGATTATTGTTCTTTCGCTAAAACTCGATTATTCTTAATCAACAACGACATACACTGAATTACTTACTAAATAAAAACGTTAAGGGCCAGTCTTGTAAAATTGAAAGTAACTACTTGCTGATTAAACTATATCGCTATTGTTTGTTAATATGTCAAGTAAACCTACATGTAACAATACTCAGAAGTGAAAAGATTGACCCTAATTTAAAGAAACACATAGAAAAATACATACTACTTAATATTAAATTTAAGTAATTTTAATATTTCTTTTCGTTTCAGATTGGTCGAGCTACGGTCAAAGAATCGCGCTCTCTGCGTCTAGTCCACGACGTCCACCTCAATAATCGACGAGAAGACACCACTCAACAGCCCCTTTTGGTAGTCGGCAACGGGAGGACGTACAGCGTGACCGAAACGTCGCCGAAACGAGCCATCATGGGCGTCATACAGAAAGCGGCGCTCATCAAGAAGTCCAAGAGCAACGGATCCATTACTACCAATGATGACTGCGATGAACAGGTAAGAAATACTTTTGTAATAAGATACTATAACAGTTTTCTCATACTAATTTGACCATGGAATATGTGATTAACATTGTCGAGAGATAATAATTCCAATCGGGTCATTAAATTCAAAATAAATGTAACAATGCCAATGTATATACAGTAATTGACGATAATATATAGTAATGTGTGGTAATATGCAGTAATTTACAGTTATTTTCAATAATTTACAGTAATTTACAGTAATTTACAGTAATTTACAGTAATTTACAGTAATTTACAGTAATTTACAGTAATTTACAGTAATTTACAGTAATTTACAGTAATTTACAGTAATTTACAGTAATTTACAGTAATTTACAGTAATTTACAGTAATTTACAGTAATTTACAGTAATTTACAGTAATTTAGAGAAATTTACAGTAATTTACAGTAATTTAATCATTTACAGTCATTTGATTTAATTTACAGTCATATATTTACTTACAGTCATACAGTTACAGTCATTTGATTTAATTTACAGTCATATATTTACTTACAGTCATCCAGTTACAGTCATACATTTACTTACAGTCATTTATAGTCATTTACAGTCATTAATAGACATATACAGTAATTTACAGTCATTTTTAAAAGTTTACAGTCGTTTTCAATAATTTATAATATTTTACAGTAACTTACAGTAATTCATTTACAGTAATATACAATAATTTATGGTAACGTACAGTAATTTATCATAATTTGCATTAATTACAGTTATTTACAGTAGTTGAGTCATTTGCAGTCATATACAGTCTTTTACAGTAATCTACAGAAATAAAAAGTATTTTACAGTAATTTAGTTTACAGTATTTTGCAGTAATTTGCAATAATTTTTAGCAATTTACAGTAATTTATAGTAATTTTCATTAATTTACAGTAATATGCAGTAATTTACTGTATTTTACAGTACTTTGTCGAAATTTGCATTAATTACAGTCATTTACAGTATTTGAGTAATTTAAAGTCATATAGTTTTTACAGTAATTTACAGTAATTTAATCATTTACAGTCATTAATAGACATATACAGTAGTTTATAGTAATTTTCATTAATTTACAGTAATTTACTATATTTTACAGTAATACAGTACAGTAATTTACAGTATTTTACTATATTTTACTGTATTTTACTGTAATTTATCGAAATTTGCATTAATTACAGCCATTTACGGTATTTGAGTAATTTGAAGTCATATAGTTTTTACAGTAATTTACAGTAACTTACAGTAACTGAATCATTTATAGTAATTTAGTTTCATTTACAATCATTAATAGACATATACAGTAATTTATAGTCATTTTCAATAGTTTACAGTAATTTTCAGTATTTTATAGTATTTTACAGTAACTTATAGTACAAATTTATAGTAATTTGGGGTAAATCACAGTAATTTACAGTAACAGTAATTTATCATAATTTGCCTTCATTACAGTTATTTACAGTATTTGAGTCATTTGCAGTCATATACAGTCTTTTACAGTAATCTACATAAATAAATAGTCTTTTACAGTAATTTAATTTAAAATATTTTGCAGTAATTTGCAATAATTTGCAGAAATTTATAGTAATTTATAAAAATTTACATTAATTTTACAGTAATTTACAGTAATTTACAGTAATTTACAGTAATTTACAGTAATTTACAGTAATTTACAGTAATTTACAGTAATTTACAGTAATTTACAGTAATTTACAGTAATTTACAGTAATGTACAGTAATTTACAATAATTTACAGTAATTCACAGTAATTTACAGTGATTTACAGTAAGTTATTGTAGTTTACATTAATTTACAGTAATTTACAGTAATGTACAGTTATTTACAGTAATTTACAGTAATTTACAGTAATTTACAGTAATTAACAGTAATTTACAGTAATTTACAGTAATTTACAGTAATTTACAGTAATTTACAGTAATTTACAGTAATTTACAGTAATTTACAGTAATTTACAGTAATTTACAGTAATTTACAGTAATTTACAGTAATTTACAGTAATTTACAGTAATTTACAGTAATTTACAGTAATTTACAGTAATTTACAGTAATTTACAGTAATTTACAGTAATTTACAGTAATTTACAGTAATTTACAGTAATTTACAGTAATTTACAAGAATTAATTCACAGTATTCTCGCAATCTACTCTATATTAGCAATATTTTATTTTAATTTACAGTAAAATACCCCTATTAAAATACTGTAATTAATATTATTAAAATCTGTTTTTTTTTATCCAGATCTACTGGCTGAGACCAGCTTTGGCACCGTCTCAGAACTCGCCAGACGGTTCGAACTATTTCTGCTGGTTTAAAAAGAAGCCCAAACAAAAAGTGACATTTAAAGAGACCACCACCACTGTCGGGAATCGGTAACGTGATTTTCTATACTCTAGAATGATGTGTGTTCCTTTTTGTGTGTTGTGTATTTAATTTATCAAATTTAGATTACTTATGTGTATGTGTACAAAAATCGTAATTTTATTTAATTTTGCTGTAATTTCACAAATACGATAAAAAATTGCTCCTTTGATGGATTAGGCTTCCTAGAAACCATTTTTTCCTTTTATTATCATCTACTTTAACGTTTCTGGCTGTATATTGTCTCTATCTTTTGTCTTCCCTATTTGAATATATTTAATTCTTTTTTTATGCCATATGTTTCTTTTATATGTCAAACTTCACTTTTCTTATGTCAAACGTCACTCCCTTGATGGAGTAGGCTTCTCAGAAACCATTTTTCCTTTTATTCCCATCTACTTTAACGTTTCTTACTCTATATTGACTCTATCTTTTGTTTTTCCTCTTTTAATATCTTTTATTATGCCATATGTTTAATTTATATGTCAAACTTTACTTTTCTTATGTCAAAAGTCACTCCCTTGATGGATTAGGCTTCCTAGAAACCATTTTTTCATTTTATTCTCGTCTACTTTAACGTATCTGGCTCTATATTGTCTCTATCTCTTATCTTTCCTGTTTGAATATCTTTAATTCTGTTTTTTCTTATGCCATATTTTTATTTTATATGTCAATCATCACTTTTCTTATGTCAAATGTAACTTTTCATATGTCAAAAGTTATTGTTCCTACATCATCAGTCACTGTTAAAATAAAATCTTATTCTTTATGTATATTAATTTTCAAAATTTACTTTTTTTGTATTAACAAAAAATATTTATATATAAAAATTATATTTTCATAATTCATATGTCAAGTCATTTTACAGCACCGATTTTGTTTTTTTAAAGGCGAGTATATTAAATTCAGTAATTTTTCATCGTATTTTATGAAACACTCTGTATAGTGATTTTGTTTTGTGATTATGCGCTTGTTTTTGTACAGTTAGTGGTAGTTTTAATTTTTATTCACCAATGGCGTATCTTAATATTTATTTTAAAGAAAGAGAAGATATAGTACAGGAAAATTTGTCATAAAAATGTTAAAAGTTTGAGATACGTCACTTTGGATTTTGAAAGTTTGCAATATTTTCGGTAAATTTTATCACAATTACGATTTGAAATTTTCGATGGTCTAGTCAAAAATGTACTTTAAAATTCTTCATTATTGTATAATAATTAAATTGTCTATTTATTTATGTAATTATTTATTTATTTATATGTACCAACGATATTGCAGATATGGATTTTTTGTATGTTTCTTTTTGGCATGTGCTTTTTATCAATTTGGAAATGTTCTGTGTGAGTATAGGTAAACAAATGTTTTATAATTTAATTAGTAGTTTTTTTTTTTAATTAAATAAATAATACATAATATAATAAAAATAATGAAAATTAAAGAGGTAAATATTATTTTAATTTTTTTATTTCTTCCTTGACAACTTTTTAATTAAAATGAAAACATACTTTTATCGAATTTGCCTGTTAATAGAAATTGGGTTATTGGTTTTGTTAAATTTAAAACTAAAAACAGTCAATATGATTTAAATCTGGTGATCTTATTTGTTCCAAATGTTCAGGTAAGTTGATTTTTAATTTGATTATATGAGTGAGTGAACCCTTGAGCCCCTAGATATAAATTAGAGATAATTCACAATTCTAAATTTACATTTTTTCTTAAATATCTCGAATACGGTACATTTTAGAGAAATTGTGTATAGAATAAAAATTATAGAGAATTATATTGCAAACAACTTTTATTTGAAGAATTTTCTCTTGCAAACGTAAATAACAGATATATTCCATAAAATATAAATATGACCCCCTAAAAATAATAATTTCAATTAAGATTAATTTGGCTTATTTATTTTGAATCCCCCTTAGATGAGACACTTTATTTGCTCTAATTATAAAATTGATATTTGATATAAACAATTAAAAAAAATTAAATATTGAAATATAATAAAATAAAATAAAATAACATAACATATAAAATCGAAAATCGAAAATCGAAAATCGAAAATCGAAAATCGAAAATCGAAAATCGAAAATCGAAAATCGAAAATCGAAAATCGAAAATCGAAAATCGAAAATCGAAAATCGAAAATCGAAAATCGAAAATCGAAAATCGAAAATCGAAAATCGAAAATCGAAAATCGAAAATCGAAAATCGAAAATCGAAAATCGAAAATCGAAAATCGAAAATCGAAAATCGAAAATCGAAAATCGAAAATCGAAAATCGAAAATCGAAAATCGAAAATCGAAAATCGAAAATCGAAAATCGAAAATCGAAAATCGAAAATCGAAAATCGAAAATCGAAAATCGAAAATCGAAAATCGAAAATCGAAAATCGAAAATCGAAAATCGAAAATCGAAAATCGAAAATCGAAAATCGAAAATCGAAAATCGAAAATCGAAAATCGAAAATCGAAAATCGAAAATCGAAAATCGAAAATCGAAAATCGAAAATCGAAAATCGAAAATCGAAAAGCGAAAATCGAAAATTGAAAATCGAAAATCGAAAATCGAAAATTAGAATTCGAAAATCGAAAATCAATATTTCTCTTTCTTTTAGTTACAAATTAATTTGTAATAAAGCGTTTTGCTCTGTTTAAATTTCCTGATTTTATTGAAAATATTTTATTTTCATTTCCCCGATATTAAATAAAATAAATAAATTAATTAATAAAGTGAATTATTTTATTAAATTATCTGGTGCTAGAGTTGGGTTAGTTTTTTTTAAAGATAATTACAGGGTGGTTCTAGTAATTATTTAAACTACAGAAAATAACGTCTAAGTCTCGATACGTGGGCCGTATGGATATTACCAGTTATTTAGGTGTTATCCGTTGTTACGTACTAAAAGTCTCATACCTTATGTATAATTTTTATTAACAATTTTAGTATTCTAGAAAAGAATAGTTTTCACAGAGAAATGAGCAAGGGCCAAAATAGTTTAATATATTTTTAAATATATCTATTTTGAAATTCGTCAACTGTAGCTATATTTCATCTTCAATTAACTTTACCTTGTTTTTTGGGGTGCATGTAAACATAACGGACACACGAATTTCGAAAAAAAAATTTGAACTAGAAAATAGTGTTAAGTGTATAAATGAAATACCAAACAAAAAAATTTGCGGATTATGCATAAATAACAGAGTAATTTGAGTTCAAACTTGCGAATTTTGGTGATTCTACCTAAGATTTTTTGATTTTTGTGTGAGGTATATGCATGGTTGCCAAACGTTTCAATTTATAACAAAATTTAGATTAATAATTGACAGTACTTTTATGAATTACATATTGAAACAGTGCTCATATCACGCATGGAAAGGTATTTATTGGGAATATATATTTTGCTTAATAATCTAATTTTTTTTATACTTACATTTTAGGCATTATGAAAAATAGTACTTTTCAAATATACCACCGGAAACCTCACAAAGTATCTTATTTTTGGAGTAACATTTCCAAACACTTTAAAATGCACTACTATTATTAATTTTTTTTGTTGCTTTTCCTAAAAAAACTTAACTTTTAATTTCCAATCACATCCATCGATTTTTTTATTCATTTTGATTTAATTGTACATATTAACTAAATATTAATATTACATCATCTATAAAGTAATAAACAACAATTATTTTAGGTTATTCAAAAGTTTTTAAACTTTCAAACAAGATAATTAATAATTAGTCTGACAATAGAATTGTCAACCATAGTCAATGAATTTATCAACTTTTAGAGGATAGCCCAATTCATTTAATTTCTACTGAGTCCGAAGCGGCGTGACGTCACCTTTAAAAACTTTCATCCGTTTCATTTAAAATGTACATCAATACACTTTCTTTTAAAATTTCGTTTTATTTTATTTGTTTTTAAAATAAAAGATATTTCAGATATTAAAAAGATCATTTTACCAGATACAAAATTTAACTCATCTAAAAATTATAGGAGTAAATAAATAGGTAAATAGAAGGTAATAAATTTAAATACTATGGCCATGTTTTCTAAAAATCTTTTTAATGAACTCATATTTAAGAAATTTGACATGTTATTGTTAAAGTCGAAATTTATATACTGAGTGAACAAAAAGTAATTTATTAATATGTACATTCCTGATAGGTTTACAAAAAAAGTTTTGATGAAAGTTTCATGAAATAAATCAAGTTAATAAGAAATACACCTTCGTGCTTAATAAGAAATATACTGGGTTGACCAATATTCAGAAATTACAAAATAATATATTTATTAAATAGTTTTTTGTACTAAATTAAATTTAAAATAAAACCGTTAAAATAACATTGTGCTAACTTTATTAGCCATAAGCCATCCATTCATTATTTTTGAATAATGGTGCAACCGATATATTTCTAACTGACTTACAATGATGACTTGATTTATTTCATAAACAAAATATAAACGTTTTCTGACATACCTACACCATGAAAGCACGTTCATCCTGTTTTGAAATTTTTGCGCACACTTTTCACACTTACATCATAACATCCAGCTATGCTCATTCCAATATCCTTATCCCTAGAGGCAGAAGCGAGTGCGCCCCTTTTTACACCTACACCATAAGAGCCAGCTGTGCGCGTCCTACCAACTGGCTTACCACTAGATGAAAGAGCGAGCGATGCAAGGGTGCCCTTTTCACACCTTTTCCCTAATAATCAGCTACGCTTGTCCCAACAACGACCTTACCACTAGAGGAAGGAAGAACGCTGCCCGGCTGACGTTTCGAAATTCGCGCGCGTTGATTTTAAAACGTCGGCCGTGCGCTCCCCTTTTTACACCTACACCATAAGAGTCAACTACGCTTGTACCATTAAAGGTCTTATCACTAGAGGAAGAAGCGAGCGCGCACGGCCGACGGCAAGTTATATCGGTATAAGTCAGAAATATAATAGGCGTACCTATTACTCCAAAATAACGCGAGGATATTTGTTTTAATAGTATTCGAGATAATACAGCTAGCACAATGCAGTTTCAATGGTTTTATTTTAAATTTAATACAGTACGGAAAAATATATTCTTGCTTAAGTTTGGAATAAAGGCCAACCCAGTATATTACCTTTTATTAACTTATTAACTTAAAAAATTTCATAAAACTTTTTTTGTGAAACTATCAGAAAATGAATTTTAGTAAGTTTCATTAACTTTTGTACTCTTTGTATATAGTATACATTTCGACTTCTAACTATATTATAATTCGTATGTCAAATTTCTCAAATATGTGTTATTTGAGAAACATTTTTGAATAACATTGCGGCAATATTCAAATTTATTACCTATTTTACTTACTACTGTAATTTTGGGAGGTTTGTAATTTTTCTCTGGTTAAAATCATGTTTTGAATATTTGAAATAACTTTTAGTTTAAAAATAAATGGAATAAAAAAAGGTGTATTGTATCGATGTATATTTTAAATGAGTTCCGGCTGAACCGTTGAAAGCATCTAGGGGTGACGTCACGTCATAGCTGACTCAACAGAAATTGAACGAATTCAGCTATCCTCTTTAATCGTTAAAGGCGTTGGTTGACTATGTATAAGATAATAAATTTCATATTTCAAAAAAAGTTTTAAAAATTTTTGAATTACACAAAGTAATTAAGTTTAAAGGTTTTCCAAAAGTATTTTAGAGATGATGTAATATTAATATTTAGTCAATATGTACTACAATTTAATCAAAATGAATGTATAAATCGTCAGATATGGATGGAAATTAAAAGCAAAAGAGTTTTTAGGAAACGAAACCAAATAAATTAATAATTTTTATAGAATTGACACTCGATTGCCGTACGTTACCATCGATAGTTATCGATTGTCCGATATTTTATCAAATACAGGCACTTAAAAAACTGGCAACGTGGCTATAGATAATAATAGAGGTTTCTTAAAGAAAATTAAGGTTATATCAATAAAAATGGTTTATTATCTTATTAATACACAATATTTTTATATTAACTTTGGTTATTTTGGTTTTGCTATAGTTAAATTGATCAAAAATAGTAAGTAGTATTATTTTGATTAAGAATATAGCGAAAATAGTGAAAATTGTTTTGTTCGTATTAGGCATTCCAAACAAATTAATTGCCAGTGGGAAGGTTTGGTATATCTAAGGGTGATGACACACGGTGTATTCTATCTACTTTACGTAAAATCATGAATAATGGATTACATTTAAATATTTTATGTCAAACACAAAAATAATATTTAAAAAACCTACCTATACATTTTTTCATAAATTGGCAGGCTTGGCGACTACTACTTCGAAAAAAAATAGCGTCCAAGTTGCAAGACTATGTCGCTACCCCCTTAGATATACAAGAATTTCCCACTGGCACATATTGTTTGACAGGTCGTTGGAATGCCTAATTGTTTACAGTCACCTTTTTACTTTCCTATATGTATACAGATAAAAGGAAAGTATAGGAATCATGATATTTTCGACCTCGAGTTTTCGACGGATTTTTACGTTTTGAGGTCCCCTGAATCCGTTTTGACTATTTTCGCGATGATGTCTGTGTGTGTGTCTGTATCCACTATAACTCATAAACCGATACAATGAAAAATACCAAATTTTAAACTTAAGCTTTATTCCGGCGTCTAATGAACTGATTAGATTTTGGTCAGAGTCGGAACATCTGGGGGGGTACTTTATAGGTAGTCATTTTTATATTTTATGGTATATATCTGTTATTTACGTTTGGAGAAGAAAATTCTTTAAATAAAAGTTACTTACAATATTATTATCAATATTTTTTGTTGTATACAAAATTTTCCTAAAATGGTCTGTATTCGAGAAATTTGACAAAATTTAAAAAAAATAATTTTTTATAAAAATTGTTCAAATAAAAGTTGTTTGCAATATAATTCTCTATAATTTTTATCCTATACATAATTTCTCAAAAATGGACCATATTCGATATATTTGAGAAAATGTGTAAATTTCGAATTTTGAAAGAACTCAAAAACGGATAAAGAAAAAACATTAAATTTTAAACTTAAGTTTTATTTTGGCCTGACGTGAAATGATTAGATTTTGGACAAAGTCGGAACATCTGGGGGGGTACTTTATGGGAAGCCGTTTTTATATTTTATGGAATATGTTATTTATGTTTGGAAAAGAAAATTGTTCAAAAAAAGTTACTTCTAATATTATTATCCATAATTTTTGCTTCATGTCAAATTTTCCTGAAATGGTCCGTATTCGAGAAATTTGACAAAATGTGCAACATTCTGATTTTTAAGAAAATTGTTAAACTAAAAGTTGTTTGCGATATCAATTCTATAATTTTTGTTTATACATGATTTTTCCAAAATGGAAAAATTGTAGGAAAAGTGCTAAATTTAAATTTTTCAGTATTTTCGTTTTCAATGAATATCTATGGAAAAATGTTTCGAGTTAGAGGGAAAGCCCACTCACGCGACATGTCGCGCGCGGCAATACTTTTGATGTTTCTAAATGACCACGCGACCACGCGACAGAACCGCGTTAATGGGCTTTGAGTCATTTAAAAACATCAAAAGTATTGCCGCGCGCGATCAGTCGCTCGCGACATGTCGCGTGAGTGGGATTTTACTCTTAGATGTATGTGGAAAATGTATATATTTAGTTTATCCTCTAAACTTTTATAGAGGTGCTGCAATAGGTTATACAAAATAACCGGAAAAAGTCTATAATAACTAGATGTGTTGGATACATCAGATTTTTAGATATTTAGGGTAAGGTGGCGATGGGTTTTAATTCATTGAAACTTACTCTTTTGATAAACGAGTAATTTTAGAAACTTTCCATTGTTGTGGTAAAATACTTTTTTCTAATTTAGAGAATATTCCCATCTTGATGTAAAAATTAAAATTCCATTTATAATAATGTGTGATTTATTCTGTAACAGATAATAAATTTACGTCATAGATTATGATGGAAATATTATTTGATATCAGCAAAGCATTATTCTTGGAAAATATCTGTAATCAAACTACTTTGTAAAAAAGTACAGTAGTTTTAAAAACTCGCCACAAACGAGGATGCTTTTGTTCGTAACATGTAAAATATTTAGAAAATTTACCCGAGTACCATTTTTAAAAGATAAGGCGGGATTCTCTTTAAGTTTACAAAAAATGTGTAAGTTTTAAAATATAACATTTAGTCAACCAATTATTGGGAATATGATTAAACGATCATTAGGGGACATATTTCTTTTATCTTAAATAAAATTAAGCTTGTTTACTTTTAAGGTTAGTTCACAAAATTGTATAAATGCTCTGCTAGAAAAAATTCTGATAGTTCACATGAGTACGAGAGATTATTATAATTATCAATTAGCATACATCTACTGACTTTTGTAGCAAATTCTAACATTTCAAAACAAAAATAAGATACGTATCTTTCCATTTCCCGCTGATTTAAATGCTTATTATTTTTGTATTCGAAAAGAAAACAAAACCTCATTACGATTTACATTTTTATCTCTTTTACCGAAACAACGAAACACAATTTCTGTGTAGGTACTTTCGCGCTAAAGATAACATTGCCCCGGGGTGCGTTTCTTTTCGAGATTAGCGCCTTTTATTCGAAAGTGTGTTGAAAACTGCCCCGCGGAAAAACGGAGTTCTTTTGTTAAACAGCGGAAATTAAAAACCATTCAAGCGGACGATCGAACCGTAAATTTGTCGAAACGGTTGGAAAAAAGTGTGAAAAAACGTCTAAAAGGCGAAATGTTTATCCATAATTCTTCCACTATAAAGTACCTATCATGAAATTGGGTACATTTTTAATATATATTATTGATTGCCAATAAAAACTTCGGATTCCTTTTTTCTTAACCTTTTATTATGAACATTAACATTACATGAACATAATTTCATCAACCATTTTCAACATTTTATAAAAGATGACAATTGACAATTTGACAGATGGCACAAAGGGGTATTTTAGCGTTACATATTAACATAAATAAATCACTACAGAGCGTTAGCATTAATGCGAGCAGGAAATGAATAATATCAACGTTACCAGCTGATATTGGGTCGGTTGCGTAGCTGTAGGGAGTGTATTATTATTTTATTTTTTTTAATTTGATGTAATCGACATCAACTACTTAAGTTATTAGCCTCGTGTATTGTGTAGGCTTTATTACTGTTTTCCAACGCCACGGAATTGGTATAATTAAACAATGATGCAGTCAAAGGTTTGAAAATTATCTAATATAGGTATATGGATAAATATTTAATTTAGTTTTCATGCTCTAAATTCATAAGTACATACCTAACATAGACACAGATATTTTATTGTTTAACTTAATTTAAGCCAATTTAATATTTATATTTTTTATTATATTTAATATAAGTTTAACTTTCATTTTTATACAGATATCATAATTTAAATAAAATCATCAGATGCTGCGTCAGTCTGACACAGTTTATCAGTATCTCCAGCATTTATAGGGCATATATCTATAACCTTAAATTCATTAGGGACAACCTACAAAATTAAACAATTTTTCATATAAAATTCTACTACAGTCAGAAAATTATAATTCTTCAAATAAAACATACAATAAAATTGGCATACTTCTGAATTATCTTCTGGTACAATGATCTTTCTTGGCTGGCAACCGCAATCTGAGATCTTTTTAAAGTTGGTACTTTATCAATGCCATAATATCCCATTTCTTAAATCGGATGATTCTATGAAAGGGTACCGTTTTAAATAAAAGACTATCTAATAAAATTAATATACCTTACCCGAAACACTGATATAATAAAATGTTGTCTCTGTGAGATCTTCTCTGATGACTTGCTTCCATATATACCATTCTTTCTTTTTGAAACTTCATTTATATCTTTTGTATGCAGTTTGCTACTCAAGGTGTCCCGTAAATATACCGACAAACTTTGAGGTAAGACATCAAAATGAATATTTTTTTGTTTTATAAACATATGTCCGAAAACCCTTGATTTCCGAAATAAAGGGATTTTTATACAGAAATAATAACGCTTAATAGATATTTGTAATTTTTATAATTGTTTTGAATAAAGCAGCAACTAAAAATGGAACTTGTATCCCTTAATATTTTTGCGTATCTTATTTCCAGTATATCGCCAATAATATAATAATTCACTTTTGGCACCAAAAAGTGGATATTCAACATGCGCATTTAGTTTTTTTATTTTCTCAAATTTAATGAATACATTATTTTGTAAATATTGATATAAAAGTAAAATTATATAATATTCTTCTTATATTTACAAAAAATAAGGCGTGTAAAAAAATAACCCACAAAGAGTTAACTCATTGGTTTTACAAAGTAAAATCACACAATGCAATAATCGTTTTCTTTTTACCATTAATCTGAGCTAACTTACATCGACTAAGCTTAGTTGTACGTTCTTTTGTAATTGTAAGTCAGAATCTTTATTCCCCCTCTACCAATGCTAAGCACTAAACTATATATTAAACTGGAAGAACAAAGCCAGAGATAACCCAGCGAGACGTGTAACTCAATGTATTTTTTTTGTTCAGTAAAAGTTGTTTGGGCGATTGTAACCACAACCAATCTATAATGGCGCCACTAGTATATAGCGGGAAAATTAAAAATGCTTTAGGGCGGGAAATTCAAATATGGATTCAGAAATAAATAGTTTTTCTATACAAATTTACAGGAGAAACAAAAACTATTGTTTCACTGTATATTAAACAATATAAAAGCTTCCAATAACATCAAATTTTTTATCATATAAATAATTTTAATAAAGGAAGTTTTAATCAGTTTAATATAAGCAGTGAACATAGTTTTTATTACTCTTGTAAATTTCGTTAAAAAAACTTGAAAATTCTTTTGATTATTAAATATTTAAACTTGGAAAAATAATACACCAAACTCTTTTTCTATAAATTATATTTTTGTAAGGTACAGAAAAACAAACTACAATTGCTACGTTTAGAAAGTACCTCGTATCATTTTGTGACAAATTACAAAGAAAGTCACAGTTATATATTCATAATATATTTAAAAAATAATGTAACTAATATTTTATAAAATATAGAGTATATCGATACCTTTTTGCCAGACTATGATAAGTGCCATTTGAACAAATGTCCCTTACGTTAGTCTGGCAAAAAGGTATCGATATGTTATGACTGTTTATTTTAGTAGAAACCGTTAAAACGAAACAAACACATACATACACTCACACAAATGTATAAGGCCCGAGTCGAGTAAGTTCCCATCCTGTAAACTGGATCTAAACCTGCTAGACCCATTCCATACACCCCCCTGCTAACTCCTCTTAGGTTTATCAAGATCAATAGATTTATATGCCCTGCCTTCTAAAAGGGAATGAAAGATGACACTATCATCATTTAAACAGGACGTTGCTGAAGGCTTACCCCTGTTATGTCGTCTGTTCTATTAAGTTACACGTCTCTGTTGTCTTTGGTATGGTCTATGACCAGAACGTTATCTTTACACTCACATTGGTAAATAAGATTTTTGGGTTGCTGGAACATTAGCGCCTCTAGTGAGAACAAATTTCAGTAAACGCTCCCATAAGCAAGAGTATTTGCGAACTTTATACCAAACGAAGCGAACTTTTGCAGTTTTAATAATGCAACAGCTGAATCGGACTCCCTGAAGTAGTCGCCCATTTAAATATTCGTCATCTCGACTAATCGTGACTTAATTCCGAACTTGCGAGCCAGAATTTAGAGTCAAGAGCCTCTTCTTCAAAGACAAGCCGTCTACAATTAAGTCCTGCATAATTTCGCGTAATTATTCTAAGTGACAGACATCGTGAATTTTCGTCCATAGGGACTTAAAACTATTTGTATAGTTTGATGTTTAGGGTGGAGGAAACGACAGGGAAGAGTGTAGGGGGGAATTGTTTGAACAGGAAGTGTCTGTAACCGTTATTAATTCTGTGGGGTTGGTAAATAGCTAGTCACTCCTTAATAGGATATTATTTTATGGTGTCGTATTAGGGGATGTTTAACAGTAAAACGTTTCGCAATAATATTTAGAAATTAAGGGTATGAGCCGATATTAACCAAAATAACGGTATATTTTTACGGTTAACATTAACCGTTTTAAAGCAAATAACCGGTAATTTGCGGGATATACCATTTTAATTAAAGCGATGTTGGTTATTCTTGGTTACTATCTATGACGTCATATTTAAGCCCTTTGAAACGTCATTAATTATAACCGGTAAAGTCTGGACTTGGGTTAATAATGACAGTGATATATAGTTAGTGTTTTTTGGTAAGATTATAAAACTCGCTCCGTCAAATTTAAAAGTTACATTAGTTATTATACTATTATTTATGTATGTATACGTAATTTATCAAATGTATCTGGTACGACGCGAAAAAAAGTGTAACACTGTTTCCTATTAAAATCCCAGTTTCTTACAATCTATACAATTACTAACAAAGTAGCGCATTAAATTTGTTGTATCGTTATCCATAAGGAAAAGCCGAGGAGAAACCTCACTCAATTTCCACTTTAGAGCCAGTAAAAGTTAACCTAGAAATTAAATGTCAATATTTCTTTCCTTTTTTAAAAAACGATATAACGTTAATGCGTTACAATAACCGGTTAAGCCGGTTACCTATTTGAGCTTTAGTCACGTGGTTTCAAGGTTAACCAAGGGTATAACCGAAGTGTTCTCTGGTTCATAGCTTTAAAAGTCGAATGTCAATTTGTCACAGAAGTGACGTAATTCTTCGCCGAGGTCCAAATGTAACCAACAAATTAGTGTTTTTCAGAAACCGCTGTCAAAAAATCCTGATTACTTACGGTTAGTAGTCGGTAAATATCGGACCATACCCTAAATGTTTGTGTAGAAATGAAATGACGTAAACGTCCTCTGTCAATTTCAAGTTATTTTCGAAGAATTTCTGCCGAATTCCATCACTTTTCTTAAGATACGAATGGCTTCTCGCAGACATGCATCTTTCAGACGGACGTCCCCCTTGTGAAACTCCCCGAGAAAATATTTCTTTTCTTTGAGGTATTTTTCCACCCCTGCTTTATCAGCCGTTGGGGATGCATCGAAAAGGTGATTTCGAGAGAAATTGGGAAAGTTGCTCAACGTCCCTTTTGGGGAGAGGTTGTGTATTAGTTTGATATTCGTTCGGGAAGTGAGTCATAGGTGAACATTTGTATTTTATTACCTAACAGCCCAGGATAACGGATTGTGATAGATCGGGGTTGGGAAACGAATTTAATTGTTTTATTTAGTCTAGTCAAATTATGATTTGAGTTGAGCAAAATTGTTTCATAAGCGATTAAAATGATATTTAACTTAATAGGTTTAATATTACTTTTCATAAAAAATAAGATAGAATTCGATTATAGGGAACAAATTTAAAATGGCTGCCATTTTTCTAAATTTACAAGTGCAGAATAAACACTGATCGATTCAGTATTGTTGTTCTACACAATGATTGTTGCTATAGTTGGTAATATGAATCTTGCACAAGTAAGAATCCCATAAATGGCCATACAGACATAACTTTCGAGGATGAAAGAAAATCAGAATGGCCGTGCAGTTTACGCAATATATTTCATAGAAATTCTAATTGTTTATATTATTATAGGGACGTACTGTAAAATGTAAATACTTTATAGATTTCGAATTATTCAGTCAGTAAGTGAATCATATACGAGGTCAGTAAATTAAGTAATGAGACTGGCAACGTTGCGTTTGATCTGGCAACACTAAAAGCGCGAGGCTTAGTGGGGCGGCAGAGGAACATGTGATTCACCTTCAGTACGAGTTTGACCTCGCTCGAGTCATTTGGTTATGCGTAGTGATTGTTTTTGTGAAACAGTTTTTTCTATTGTGTTCTAAAAATGAATGACATCAATTTGGAGCAACGGTGTGCTATCAGGTTTTGCTTCAGACTTGGGCACAGTGCAACGGAAACTCTTCTGAAACTTCAGCAGGCCTACGGAGATAGTGTTTTGTCAAGGGCCAAGGTTTTTCGCTGGTTTAAGACATTTTCAGAAGAAAGAGAGTCGATTGAAGATGAACCACGAAGCGGAAGGCCTTCATCTTCAAGGTCAAACGGTCAATCAACACTTTTACCGAGAGGTTCTTGAAAGACTTCGAAAAAGGGTCATTCGTGTGAGACCAAACATCAACAACAAGTGGGTGTTGCATCACGATAATGCTCCTTGTCACAAAGCAATTTCAATAAACGAGTTTTTGGCCAGTAAAAACATTCCTGTGGCTCCTCAGCCTCCTTATTCGCCTGACTTAAGTCCTTGTGACTTTTTTCTCTTCCCAAAGTTGAAAAAGTCACCTCAAGGGAAATCATTTTGGGACAGTCGAAAATATTTAAACGGCTGTAACCGACCAGCTAAAGGTTATTTCAGTATCGGAGTTCCAGCACTGCTATGAGGAGTGGAAGAAACATCTCCAGCGCTGTGTGGCCTCAGAAGGAAGTTATTTTGAAGGTGACAATATTGAATTGTAATTCTTTTTGTATAAAATTTTTTAAAAAAATCTGTCTCATTACTTAATTTACAGACCTCGTACATAGTAATATGATTTGACACTCTATTATATTATTTATTCTGTATTAAAATCTCGGTGTATCAATAAGTTCGTTTCTAATAACAATAAAGTGTTCATATAATGTACTAAAATAGTTATAATTAATTGGAGGTTTATGAAGGAAAGGATTTATTAATCAAAAATATAACATATATTAACTCTGACAATACAAAATATGTCTGACTTCAATATCACACCTATCCAAAATAAATATAAGGATAACTCAAAAATTATAAAATACAAGGCGAAATCAACTTATTTACAACAATAGTGTTTTTATTATAAAAGTACATTGCATATTAAATAAATTATTGAGTAATTTAACAAAATAGACTTAGGCTCAACATTTTCAAAAGAATTAACTTAAATTTTGCCAAGGAAATGTTATGTAGCTAAGAGAACAAAAATAACACTTTTTAATTGACATTCAAAGAGTATATATACAAATATTTCACTATAAACACTATGGCGTGTGACAGTTTGCAGTTACATCGATTTTCTTTTGTTTGAAATGCCAGTAACCTCGATTTTCTAGCTGAGAGGAAATTAAAACGTCGTGTCAGATGGTGTTTCTAGATATATGTTGTTCAAACGCTCCGCCACAATGAACATGTTACACCAGAGAATATTAAATGTTAAATGCCATTCACGTCTCTCTCAGGAAACTCACATTTCATACACAAAGGTCAATTTGGTGAAAACAAAAATAATATTTTATTTCGTACAGACAAAACGAAACTAAAAAAATGGTATTTTTGTATCTATTTTTTGTATATCTATAGTTTTCAAGTGTAAAATGAGAATTGCCATTTTCCAATTTCTATAGACGTTTTGTCTCTTCCAAAATTTAATATAGGTATAAAGTTATTACCCATTAGCGAACGCAATTTTCAAATTTTACGATGTCAATTTGAATTCTCAAACAACTATTAAAGTCGAAGTCAGTCATAAAAAGTCATAAAGCGAAAATTATTTTGAATCATAAACAGAACTCAATTTTATGATTATTAAAAGGCGAGAGGGTGTCTATTGTTCAAACTACCCTATTTATAATCTTAAGCTCTACTCTCTACAAAAACAAGACAAAGACATAATAATAATAATTATATGTAGTATAAAAATGTTATTTAAATTCTGCATTAATAAAGAATGTAATATCAGTTAAGTGTTCTGGAAATGTAATAGTATTTTGGGATGTTAAATTCTTTGATTTTTTTTTACAAAAATGTATACTTTCAAATTATTAATACAGCGTGTCTGGGAAAATGTCAGAGGTCTCTCGGATTCAGATAAAACATTAAAAAAATTTTTTTTCTTAGCGGCCCTCCCTACGGAGATACGACCTCCAAAAGGACGCCACTGGAAATCAATTTTTCTTGAATAACTTTCAAACTACGTAATATAATTTAATTAAAATTTAATATGATAAACAGTAGTAAAAACCTCTTAAAATACTGCCCTTTAAAACATAATTAGCTAGTTTAGTTTACCAGGCGCGGACTAGCTTGTACATTTTAATGCTTACATTTTTAACACCCTGTATATGATAAGGAGTTAAAAAAAAATCCGATACCTTGAACGTTAAGCTAAAGAAAAGGTACTCTTCTTCATTGTCGACAAAAAAAAATAAAAGAATTAATGTTTTATTTTCCCGGACACCCTGTATAATGAGAATGAACATATTTTAGCTAGTTATAAAGCATTGTTAAATTTTTATATTAGTATTATAAACACGCTATAAAAAGTAAAGCTGGGTTACAATACATAACATTGGTTAAAAAAATTGGTAATGAAACATATAAGTCATTAAATTTGTGAGCAGTACAATATATGTCAAGGTAGAAATATCAGTTATAAATAATCAGCTTTCATGAGCCCTATTATAAATACAAATTCTACCTTATCAACCCCTCTAAGTACACCGGTCAAACTTCGCAAACCCTCGTCATCGAAACGCACACAATATCTCCTTACAAGACGCGACCTGTCATTTTACACACCCCCCAATCCACTATCCGTATCCGACAGTCCCCTAAAACTTTCTTTGCACCGTTCTGACTTCGAACTCGATTTGTTTTCCAGCACAAAGGCCAGCGTGAGAAGAAGCATCATCCCGGGCATGGATGAAGACGACGGGGACTACGCCACCCTCAGAGAACTGCCGCTGCCGCCCCCCAATCCGACACAGAGGATCTCCAACGGGGACGACACAGCCAGCGAGGAAGGCAAGGTATTGGATTTTCGTTTATTTCGTCTCGCATATTATATTTGTTGTTATGATAATATATGTGGGTCTTTGTTTGATGCCGTATGTTTGTAAAGCTTTGTTTACACTGTATGGAGCTGGTGTTGGGCTTAAAACATGGGGAAAATGGTTTAATGTAATTTATACTCACCTGTGTTACGTTATCATCGAAGACTGACTCTAGTTTTTGAATCAACTCTTGTCTTTGTTGTTTGTTTGTCCTATTTTGGGTGTATGATCGCCTTACAAAATGTTTTGACATCTTTAGATAATCTTTAGATGTCCTGATACAATTACGGGTTTAATAAATGGTGTAAACTACGCTTTATGAACATTAGATCCTAAATAATTGCTATAACGAATTGGCTTGCTTTTGCTTTAGCTTTTGGCTTGCGTTCACGACGAACACATAACTTACGCTAGCACGAATCAAGATTTTGATCCACCAGTCGATGCGTACGAAGAAAGGTCGCCTCTTCTTGATGACGCGTCGGTAATCGTACACAACAACTATGTAAACCAGGTGAGTTTTTCTGTCTTTAACTTAGCTACAGCTTCATTATTACTAATAATATAACTACGCAAGCAAACAGCCATATTTAACAAAAGTATTTGCCGTATAGAAACTTTACAGAATATACCATAATCTGGTTGGCTTTCTGCTCGATCCAAGATGCCGACTATCGTCATTTTTCACCAGTAACAATTGTATTTTCCTGTAGACTCAGATAGGACCGGCACCGCGTTGTTTGCGCCGAGCCGACTCCGGGATGATCCCACACGAAGAAATTCCCGGTAGATCGGACTCGATCAGCACCGAAAGCTCCCATTCGCCTCCCGACCCGCCGGGCAGCAGCCACAGCGAAACTTCCAGCGGGATTCACTCGAATGACAGCGAGCACCCTCTGTCGGCGCCCAAACAAACGATGACCAAGGACGGCACCGAATGGAAGAACGACAACGTCATTAATATTACCGAAAATCCTGCCGATAATCAGGAGAATACCGTTGTTATACGAAGGAAGTCTATCAGACCAAATAAGGTTAGCTTAAACAAGTATTTCTATACTTTAATGGCGACCTTACCCTTTAATATAATTCTGGTTTCGAAACAAATCATTTGCAAACATTTCTTCATCTATTTCTTTCAGGTCGAGATCATAGCACCCGCCATACTGGAAGAAGACCCGTACGGCAGATGTACAAACATGCGTATGACCTCGTTCACCGACAAAAGCATCCAGCAATCCTGTTCAGCTACGTTACCTCATTACCCCACCCAACCCGTTCAAAACATTTACCCTAACTGCTCAACCATGCCGCTACCCCAGCATTCGAACAGCATCCAGGCTAGCGTTAGTAACATGGTCAACGGTAACAGCTGCAACGTGTATCCCAGACAGCATTCCACCATACCGACCCATCATAACGGAGTAAAACTAATTACGAATAACATTAATCCTTATGCGAAAAGATTGGCTACGAAAATTGGTGAACCCATGAAGTACGAGCCGATTTATACGGCTATAAATAGAAAATCTGGTGAATTGTATCATTATACGTCATAAATCTGACATAATTATCCATTGGTACGTTATAAGTACGTTACAACGTCATAACGTCATAATTACGACATTAGTACGTCATACGTATGTTATAACGTTATAAGTACAAGTACGTTACAAGTACAGCATTAGTACGTCATAAATACCCTATTAGTACGTCATAATGTCGTTAGAAAAACGATTTGATTCATTTTAGGACAAGGTGATGCAAATGAGATGTTCAATTCATATTATAAGACAGTTGTTTTGATCCATTTAACCAACATAATTCCTGAGATTAAATTATTTAGTAGACGTGGCAACAGTGTGAAATTATCTGTCAAAACTACGAAATTGACTGAATATTATTATTTTGATGTATAATTTTATACGAAAGACATGTCTGGTGATCATGTCGGTCATTCCAAAAATTTCAATCACCGATAAATACTCATTTTTATAAAAAAGTTATTTCCAACTCTGTCGATTCAAAAATATTGAAACCCTATTTGCATCGCATGGAATCGTTTTTACTTTTTCGACGTACGATGAGATTGTTAGAACCCCCACACGTTATATTTATGGTTGTGCATACAGGGCTTATCAGGAAATGAGATATTAAAGTTTAGGAAATTGGAAATATTAAGAAAGATTGGGTGAATGGGGCAACGGCACGGGGTCAGAAGGAAAATTGCCAATTAAGGCCGGAGAAAATTAGTTTCGTGTATCCTATTGACTGCGCCAATTCATCGACTGATTTTTTTAATACAGGGCGATTCAGACTTTATAAGAAAATGACCAATATATTTGATGGAAGGATGATTTGTAAACCTTATCTTTCTTAAAATTTTCCGTAAACAAAAAAGAACTGATATTTAAATAATTCTAATAATATTATTTCTTTTCGGCTCTGTAGGAAATTTTGTTTATAATTATTAATAAAAAAACTATACGTCTTCATATAATATACACGCACTAGTCAAAAAGTCATGATTTTATAGATTTTTTTATAAAAATTTTATATTTTGTAAAATCTATTTAGGCGAATATCATTTAGAAACAAAAATATTGGTGACCTTCGTTGGAGCTTACAAACTAATGATAAATTCGAGATTTTTATTCGTAAATTTAGTTTGAATGGACGCTGTGTATAGGGTGTTCAAAAACTGAAGATTTTAATATTATAACAAGGTATAATGCAGGTAAAAATAAGGCAGAAAATTTCTATCATCACAAATCCAAAAAATACCTTATAATGGAGGTGTTGAATGTAAGTAGTACGAGGCCACAGTAGTCACAATATAAGAAGAGCTGACACTTGACACACGGCAGACAGTTGACATGAGAAATGTAAGTAATCCAATGAATGAATGAAAGCCAATGTGCGTATTATATCAATAGAACAAGATGCGACTCTATGGGCGCAGCCATTTTTATTTCTTATCTCACTCGGAAGTATTTATAATAACCATTTTCTGTTTCACATTGTTATTGTTCAATCCACAAGGTGGTCGATCAAACAATAACAAAGTGAAATGGAAAATGCTTGTTATAAATACTCCCGAGTAAGATGAAAAATAACCTGTCTTCGCCCATAGAGTCGCATCTCAAGCCTATTGACAAGCATTCTACCCCCACTCCAGTTCATTGAAGTAATCTATGATGAACGTCTAAATTCAGAACCAAATGGAAAAACAGTGTTGCCAGATTTTTGACGAAGAAATGTCATCTGTCAACGCATCTTTCAGTAATTACTCGCGCATTTTTATTGACTCCCCATACTATTAGATTAATTTAAGGTCTCCCTCGAACAACACTTATTAACTAACTTATGAGAAGGAAAATACAAAATCAAATTAGGATTAAATATTATTTATTAAAAAAATAGTAACCTTTTTTTTAGATCATGTTGAGGCTTAAAATATTTATTAAGTCGAAATGGATACCCTCTGGGGGCGATAATATTATCATTTATATTCACTTTAAGACTTCTAAATTAAATTCAAAACATACATGCTTCTCTAACCATACTTTTAAAAGTGACCGAATGTCAGTTACGTTATGTACTCATGAAAAAAGAAGACGTGAAAAGGCGAGAAGAAGACTAATACAACTGGCAACACCGTTTTTCCATTTGGTCCTCATTTAGACTCTCCCTAATCTATGGATGTAATAAAGTGGAGTGTTACAATTAAATTAAATCCGTATTTCAGTTTTATTAATACCATCCATGTCTTAGTTACAAATAACAAACATTATAGAAGGAAAGGAAACCCTGAAGATGGTTATCTAACGATATTTTCGAAACTGATACCAAAAAATACTTCAAATTTTGGATTTATCTTAAAATTAATTTCTGAGACACCACAACTAGGGGAAAATGGCGTAAAAAAGTACAAAAAATGTTAGTCATTTTTTAGACTCTAGTTGTGACGTCCCATATCTAAACTGCCAGTTCACACTTGTCAGCATTTTGACAGGTCTTTGGAATGCCTAATTCTGAATGTGACAATTAGTTCAAAGACGTATTCTAACTGGGACGCCACAACTAGAGGAAAATGGCGTAAAAAGTACAATAAAATGTTGGTCCTCTTTTACATTCTTCCCTAGTTGTGACGTTCCAGTTAGAATATGTTTTTGAACTAATTGTCACATTCAGAATTAGGCATTCCAACGACCTGTCAAAATACTGACAAGTGGGAACTGACAGTTTACACATGGCAACCCTAGGCGAGTTCGGTCAGTCAGGGGCTGGAGCGGGACAAATTTTAGGGTGCTTTTAAATGACATTTAAGCGTGTTAAACTGTCACTAATCGGACTAAACCGAACGCTAAAAGAGTCGTTTGGAGTTAAAAGTGTTAAAGGAGTTAAAGGAACGTGGCAAACCGAACGCAATGCCTGTGGCCTGCTGTCATTGACAGGGTTAATGATACATATATAATTATATAGATTGCTCAAAGGAGGTCGTTTGCGAGTGGCCATATGCCCTCGCAAGTGCTGATTAGTCAAAATCGGTGTAGCAAAAATGTGTTTACAAACCAATTTTCAGATTTTAAATATAATAAAAAAAAGTAATTACCTACATTTTCACTTCAAGGCATAAGCTTATGTCTATTTTGAAAAACATGGATGACCAATCTATATAGCTATCTATAGCATTGACCCTGTCAAATCACCAGGCCTACAGGGTTGCCAAAATGTTTCCAGATTTTAAAGTATTTATCGATAGTGGTTTCAAAAATATGGGTAGAAAACCATCTATCCTTCAAAGGTGCGTTGCTTCGTTTCTAGACATTTTTGGGTATATGTTTATAGAAACTTTCTGCTTTATTTTCACTTGTATTTGCCTCTAATTTTAGAACACCTTATATATTTTTTACTTTCCATTTTTCTAAATTGACTTATAGATATTTAACTAAAGACTTATGAAAAGTCGAGATTCCCGTATGTAAAACAATATCGAAGGAAGCCTTGCAAGACCAAACAAACGTTTTACACCATATTATCCACTTTACATGCGTGGTTTTGCAAAGTCTAATCCCGTTAGGGACTAAATTGAATTTGTTACGATGTTAATTTAATCCCTACTTATATTTCCACCCTTGTCTACATATTGGGGTTACTGTCCATCAAAAAAAAAAAGACATTGAATTTGATTTACAACATCACTGCCATTCAAGACCGTCCACTTTGATAGGTCTTAAATCTGGCCGACGCGTAGGCTGCAACATTACGAAGTGTCACCATTTCGACCAGTCAAAAATTAAAAATATCCAATTTCATATCACCATTTTTGAATAAAACTCGCCCTTTTCACTTAATATAGTAAACTCGAGTCGGTGCAAATGCTAAAAATGTACAAGATGTTTTTATTGCAGAACATCCCGTATATTTTTGTAATTTTTACTAGACAATGTGTAACAATAAGCCGTAGTTCTAAAATAAATAGCTTTTATATGAAATTTTTATTTATATCTATTGTATAACAAGTAATATTTATATTAAAATAAATGTGATGCTCACTATTGTCTATCAAAACTCATACCTAGCTGCGAGGTTGTCAGTATGACAGGTGTCAACTGTCATAATAGGTTAGTGATTAATGTGTAAGCTAGTATTTAGTTATCCGTTGTGTTTACATGCCATAAATTTTGAGCAATGTTGATAAAAAATGTCTTGAATTTATTGTAACAACAATTTTTAATATGGTGTAGAATTAAAATTAAAAACAAATCCTTAGTCGGCCATGAAAATATCGTCTTTAATTTGACGTTATCCAACTTTGAAATGTGTCAAAATTGACATTATTCGTTTGTCGATTGACATTTAAATGCAGTGTTGCTAACGGACTAAGAATTCTCCGGTTTAGGGAGAATTTAAGAAGGTTCGGAAAATTTAGTGGAGAATTTGAGAAGAATATCAATTTCTTCAAAGAATTCAAATTCCCTAAGGGCCGACTCTACCGTTGTGTTAAACGAAGTTTAAATTACAAAACGAAGATTATTGTTAATGTAAAATTGTCATTTTATTCTTCGTTTAGTAATTTAAACTTCGTTTAACACAACGGTGGAATCGGCACTAAGCCTCTTTAACCAACACAGGACTTGAATTTCGGAACACGGCTCGGCGTTGTCAGTTGACTGTTGGCAGGTAAATTTAAACTTTTATTGAAAGGAGCGAAGAATCTCGTACCTTTTCGTAGAAGTTGGTCATTTGGCAGAGGAGAATCGAGGAAAAGCTTGTGGCAAAACACTTTAAATGATAAAATTTAACCAAATTGTGTGACTGAAATATAAGGTTAGGTTTGATCCTTCTATTCTGAGGTGGTAATTTGATATTGAAGTTACTTACTTTTTATAATATTTTAACTGAAATTACATTTGTAAAATTATATTTCACTTGTTATTTACATTTTAATAAAATGCGATTTTTATCTGTTTTAAACTAACTTTTAGAATCATTTCACTATTTCTTTCCACAAAACATAAAACAAATTAATTCACGAAATTGTCAATTGTTATTGTTGACACATACGGTCCTTGAAATTGCAACGTTGCCAAACGCTTGAATATAAAATCACTGTCTAATAATAATCTAAGTTGGTGTTCGAAAATTGTTTTGTTTGATAAAGTGTATCTCGAAAATACACATTTTGTTTTCAATTTTCTTATTCTATGTATAATTTTTTCGCGAAGCAACCCGCGATGTCTCCAGGCCACACAGGTTAGGTACATTAGTTAAATTTTATTTAATTTTTCTTATTTCATGTATATTTTTTTACGAAGCAACCCGTGAAGATTCTTTTCTTTTTTATAATCTCGTAATTTATACATTTTAAATAATCCTGAAACTAACAATTTCATTAGGTTTGTTCGTGTAATTTAAAAAAGAATTGTTCTAAAATTGCGCAGAACCAGTTGCTCAGTGGCACAAATTTGGAATTCTTCCGAACAGTTTTGGATTAGACATTAACATGAACAAATAAATTATCAACTGTCAATTGATTTTGTTAAAGTGTGGTAAAATAATTATTATTTAGAATTAAAAAAAACTAACAACAAACACGGAGTTTTCCCTTTTGTAACTGTACTTTAAATCAAATTGGTATACTTTGAATACATTTTTTGAAGGTCAGTCATCGTTAATATGTTCCTATATTTCCATATTCAAGGAAATTCACAATATAATATACCTAACCTCTAACCTTGTTTACTCATTATTATTTTTGTAATGGTGCAATGCGCATGTGTGACTAGAACTATTTTTGTCAGTTCGCACTTTTGGCTTAGAACTCTTTAAAACAGTTCAGAACCGCTTTAAAAAAACTCAAACATCTTAATTCCAGAAAACACGCTTTTAGTCTACTACGCATGTCTGGAACCGTTCCGTACACGTAAAACTAAAAACACGAACAAACCTATTAACAACTTGGCAACATTGTAATTTTTAAGACAATTTGTCATCTAAAGTAAATGTTTTGTGAATATAACCTGTAAAATTGAGGTTTTTAATTAGACTTTTCTCGAAAAATACCGGTTTTTACAGGATTTTTTTACGAAAATTTACTATAGAAACTAGTTACTTTTGAATGTTTCAATTTTTTTGCAAAATTCGCACCTCAGGCTCCCTCGACAGACCCGTAAACATGGCACCAGGATTTGTTTGAAAATACTTAGTAAATGGTGAGTAAAATTTATTAAAAATTGTTGAAACAATGTAGTAAATGTTTAAAATACTGTTGACCATATCTCCGGTTATAAAAACTGATACAGGGTGTTTAGAAAAGTAAATACCGAAGGTAGATATTAGAATTGAAATTTCTTCGAGGACTTGAACTAAAGTTTTAGATATAGCGACCAGTTTTGACAAGAAATAGATAGAATACAACATATTTTAATACGATATAATAGCAGTAATAATTGTTGTACAAACCCTGTAGTATATCATAATAAGGGATCTGTCCAAAGAGAAAATGAAAAATGACTTCAGTTGTATTAATCGAATTTTGTGTGAGCATTATTTAGATATTACATCTTTCAGGTTAGGTTTTATCAGCTGGAACAGAAAATTGTCCACAGGTATCAAATCAGGCTAATTTGGCGGCTTGTACATTGCCAAAATGACTTGAAAGATATTTGTGTTGTTTGAAGTATTTCATTTTTTTTTTGGACAGACACGTTCACGTTTTTCATCATCATCCTCACTCCATGTGATCCAGCACATATCTCGAAAATATTTTTTTACCACAACTAAATTATATGACAATAATAATAATTATAATAAAAAAACACCTTAAAGTTAAGCCTTAAGCACAATTTTTTAACACATTTTTGATAGAAGTTTTATACCACTATACAGGATGTATTGAAAGGATATGAAAATAAAAAAAATAAGACATTTTTTATGAACATTGCTCATTTATTTTGTAAATATTTTTTTAATTATTTGGTAATATACGCCGAAATATGAACTATTACTATTTAAATTTTACAGAAAATTTGTAATTAGACGCTTTAAAACATAATATACAGAACAATTTTGGATTCACTGAAAGCAAAAATTGATTAAAATACAAGCATCGAGAGAATGTGGTGTAATAGATAAGGCGTCTGCTACTGCAGCAAGTGATAGTGCGTTCGAATCTCGGCACACATAAGTCACTATTTTATTTCAATTAACTGTTCAATATTTGAGGTCGGTCTTATAATATATCGGATATAAATTCATCTATATCAATACAAGTGTCGAACATTTTTCACTGGAACTGCAGAAAAGTTAACAGGAAACTCCAACTCTTAACTGACGTTTCGCGCGCGACTTGACGTTTGTATGAGTGATGCTCCATATGAATCAATGATAACGCTGGCCGCGTACGGCAGGAAAATCTAATTTTCAGCCACGTGCGACCACGCGACAGAACCGCCTTAATGGGCTTTGAGTCATTTAAAAACATCTAAAGTATTGCCGCGCGCGATTCCTCGCGATCAGTCGCGTGCGACGTGTCGCATGAGTGGGCTTTCCCTCTTAATGGGCTTTGGGTCATTTAAAAACATCTAAAATATTGCCGCGCGCGATGCCTCTTAGGATTCCATGATGTAAGTTCTGATCGAACAGCTCAAGCATTGTTTATCCTAGTTACAAGTTGTCTAGAAAAATACGACTACAAATCAAAACTTGTTGAACAATGTTATGACGGCCTAGTGTTATATCAGGGCAATTAAATAGTTTACAATCGAAGATTAAGGAAGTAGCACCAAAGGCAAGGTTCGTTCATTGTTTGGCGCAGACCTTCTGAATTTTAAATTCAACATCACTTCATTAAAATTTATGTTCCAACATTTTAGAGCATTTCTCAGTCCATATAATCGAATTTGTGTCACCTACATTCAAACCCACGAGCCGCCACTGGTAAAAATTTATTTATTTATTTATTTATTTATTTATTTATACATTGTTCAACAGGTTAAACCCAATTACAGAACAGGAGTACATTTGAAAGAAAACAGTTTAACAAAAGGCATATAGATAATTAATCTAAAATTACAGTAAATAAATTCAAAATTATTTTAAACAATGTGTTTTTATGTTTTTAACACTGCAATTAAATATATCCAACTGTTCACTAATATTATTATAATTATTACACATGTTATATATAGGTGAAAACTTCAGAACGTTTGTCCGAGGAGTCGCTATGTAAAATGATTCAGTGTTTCGAGAGGTTGCGCGTGGGATTCTAAAATTAAGCATATGTAAAAGAGCTTCACAATTGATTTTAAAATTAACAACTTTGTAGAGGGTAATTATGGAGAAGTACTTTCGTCTTACGTCGAGACTTGTCAATCTGTGTCTAGTCAGTAAAGCATTTTGAGTAATACCAATCGGTGGATAAATTTGGTCTGCCCGAAAACTTAAGTATTTGAGGAAACGCCTTTGTGTGGACTCTATCCGACAAATGTGTATTTGATAATAAGGATCCCAAATAAACGAGGCATATTCGAGTTTAGATCGAACAAATGAGAAATACAATGATTTAATAGTATCTGTGTTTTTAAAATCACGGCCCACTCGTACTATGAATCCATACATACGATTTGCAGCTGTTGAGATGTTATCTATGTGGTATTTAAACGACAATACTGGGTCAAATGTAACCCCTAAATCCATAAAATTGTTGGGTTTAGAAAGCAAACGTCCATCAAGGACATAATCGAATTTAATTGGATGCGCTTTTAATGTGTATGACATTACGTTACATTTGACGGGATTCAGTGTAAGACCATTTTTGTTGCACCATTCAACAACTTTGTTCAAATTTTCCGACAACTGTTCACAGTCAGAAATATTTTCAATAGCTGAATATATTTTTAAGTCATCAGCATACAGCAAATAATCAACATTTATAGCGTCACCAATGTCGTTGATAAAAATATTAAATAACAGCGGACCCAAATTTGAACCTTGCGGTATACCAGAGGTGGCGCAATATTTGTTAGACTTGAATCCATTTAATTGAACATATTGTGTTCTTTGAGAGAGATACGATTGAAAAAGTGTGATCAAACTATTAGAAAGACCAAATGCGCAGAGTTTCTGTATCATAATATTATGATCAAGTCTATCAAATGCTTTTGTCATATCCGTATAGATGACGTCAGTTTGGACCCGATTATCAATATTTTCAGCTATTTGCTGTGTGATCACAGAAAGATTTGTTACTGTGGAACGCCCTTTAACAAAACCATGTTGCTGAGCTGAGATTGCATTACAAACATGTTGACCATTGACATGTTTTAATTGATCTGGTTAATCTGGCAATACTGTATTCCTAGACTTTTCTAGAAGGACGCCAGATGAGATTTAAAAACTTATTAAAACGAAAACTAAATTATAAAAGTGCAAAACAAAATTTGTGTGGTTTATTATTCTAAAGATGATCTAATATTATTTAACAGTTTTTTCAAAAAGTCATTCAAAATGATGTAATTCACGTGTTTTTAAATCGAGATTGGACATTGCAAGTTTTAAAGTAGAAAAAAACATAATTTGTGTTTTAGAGGGTCTAAAATAGTCTTAAAAAAATATATAGCACGTTCATGTATTGGCGTATTTTTCTATTATTTATGTTAAATTCTATTTTATGATGAATTATTATCGTCATAACATGGATTCGAATATTAAACTATACGAGGGACAGTCGAAAATTAGTTAAAATTACATCGTCTACTATTTGGATCTTCTCTCGTATATTTTTCGAAATCTAAATACGGAGCAGACTGATTTTTCACTCTTGATATTCTAGATAAATGTGAACCTTTCCGCTTACTATTTTTTTACGCAGTTATACCTAGAAATCGGTCTACTCTCGTATCTAGAACTGTTAACTTTTTTTTTAATGAGTCCTAATTGTTCTTGTTGATTTTTTATATAAATAAAACGACAGATCTAGTCAAATGATTGTTCTATTCAGTAAACCAAAAAAAAAAACTTTTTTCCGATATACTAATTGTACTTTATAAGAAACTTTTATGGTATATATCGACTTCCTTCTCTCTCAGTATGTAAAAAAGTGATATTCCTATGGTATTTATATAATTTCTATGTTGCATCACTATAATAAATTATTATTTATTAAAAAATTTAGGATTTTTTATTTGTATACCTCTTCTAAACTCTTAAAATTGAAATTATTATAGATAAGAGTCTAGTAGGATAAAGTATTTTTGATACGCCAATGTTTTTAGTAACTTTTTGTGCACTCTTAATGTTAAGAAGTTGCCAAAATATTTTAAGGATGTGACTTTGTTTTTATTTTTGTTTCAGCACATTTACTACAAAAGATATTAGAGAACAAAAATTTATTAATATATTGTTTTATTTTGTGGTCATTTCTCATGATGCAACTAGATAACAGGCAATTTATTTTGTTCTGGGTTAGTCAATATAAATGGAAGAAAATTAGAAAAGGTTTTCACACATGAAAGAAAAGTATATGTACGTGCTTTATTTCAAAGATTACTCGGGCGCCAGTTTTATTGTGATTTGTTTCACAACCTTTCGATGTAAGTAGATAGACAAAGCAGACATGGGCCCACATAGGGAATTCAATGTGTAAGAGTGAGAGGTACATATTCAACAGGCAAGAGTGAGAGGAAAACGGAGAAGTGGGGGATTATTTATTTTAACGTCGAACAGAAAAATCATGCGATTGCCAGAAGGGCCTACAAGAAGAGTAAAATTTTGTATTTATAATTTTTATAATAATTTTCACTATTATAAACAAAGTAGACGAGAATGTTATACAACTAACTACATATATATTTTAGAATATTCAGCATGTCACTCAAATCGATTTTCAATAAAAGTGGTGGTGTCGTAACAGTCTGCCAATCTTTGAATTCTCCTTCACTGTCATCATCAAATATCAATTTTAATTTGTATCTCTGCGCTTCATCGATTGTTATGGAAAACGTATTTAGCTTCATATCATTTCGCCATTCTTTTTGATTGTCAAAACGTATCGCTATTTGTTGTACGCAATTCGGTACATTAGTATACAGTATATTGTTTAATATGGCAGTACAATAAAATTTACTTTTAATAAGGCCATATCTGCGTCGGTTGAATTCTTCTAAGCGATCTAGGATGATGTCTTTCAATATCCTCACACAGACTTAATTTTAGGTCTCTTAAAATTTCTCTTTTGTCTTCATATAATTTTATATCTCTACTTAGTTTCTGAATTTTTTCTACAAAACTTTCAATTCTACATCTATTCTCTTCGCTAGACATCTCGATACTGAGGAAAACATATTCAAGCACTTATTTATTTTAAAAAAGGTCCTGTGATATTGCTACTGCGCTGGATTTTTTATTCAACGTTAATCTATAACATGTTTTCTACATAATGTCATTTTTCCCGTTTGAATCGGACCAACAGTAACAAAGATATTAGTTTTAGGCCCTTTTGACCTATCACTGCGCATGATTGTTTTATCCGACTTTAATCTATACCGAGTTCTCTACATAATGTCATTTTCCCCGTTTTAATCCCATCAACAATAACAAAGATATAAGTTTTGGGCTCTTTTGACTGACACTGCGCATGATTTTTCTGTTCAACCTTAATCTATACCGAGTTTTCTACATAATGCCGTTTTTCCCGTTTAAATCTGATCAACAATAACAAAGATATAAGTTTTAGGCCCTTTTGACCTGTCACTGCGTATGATTTTTCTGTAATAGCCGAGAAACACGCTTAGGCCCTTCTGCTTCTGTTCTGCGCAGGATTTTTCTCGTCAACGTTCATCTATACCGCGTACTCTACATAATATCGTTTTCCCCGTTTAAATCCGACCAACAGTAACAAAGATAAGTTTTAGGTCCTTTTGACCTATCACTGCGCATAATTTTTGTATCCTACTTTAATCTTTACCGAGTTCTCTACATAATGTCATTTTCCCCGTTTAAATCCGATCAACAATAACAAAGATATATTTTGGGCTCTTTTGACCTGTCACTGCGCATGATTTTTCTGTTCAACGTTAATATATACCGAGTTTTCTACATAATGCCGTTTTTCCCGTTTAAATCTGACCAACAATAACAAAGATATAAGTTTTAGGCCCTTTTGACCTGTCACTGCGTATGATTTTTCTGTAATAACAGAAAAACACGCTTAGATCCTTTTGGCAATCGCATGATTTCTCCGTTCGGCGTTAAAAGAAATAATCCCCCTGTCTGCTTTATCTATCTACTGATGTAGCTCCTCTTGAAAGGGATCGGGCAGCTTTATTTGGAGATGCAAAAAATTCCAGAGGTCAAGTCAGACTTTTAAATTTCAAGAGAGCACCAATAACAGACTTTTGTTTCACCTAATCTATGGGATAATTCTACAGAGGTAATAAAAACAGTACAATAACTAACATTTTAACAATTTATTCTTAACGTACATTATTCTGTCATAAACTCGTCAGAATCCTCCTCAAAACCGCTAGTAGTTTCTTCAGTTTCCGTTTGACACACCAAACAAACGTTGCCCATGTCCAACCAACACTCCCCGCAATACATAAAATGACAACGTTCGTTCGGACATTCGACAAAATCGCTTTCCGATTCTTTTCTAGGTTCGGGTTCCTCGCAAATCAAACACTTTCTTCTAGCAAATTCGAACAGTCTCAGCCAATCGAACGCTTTCGGATGGTTCATTCGTAAGATTTGTATTCCCGAGAAGTCTTCTTTTAAGCGCTCTTCTCGGACTAACCGTCTGATCTTCTTCCTCATAAACCTGTAAAAAGAACCAACTCCTCAGAAAACCCAAACAAGTTCAGCTCAAGTTTAACGTTCAACAAACTATGAGGGCTATAATGGACAACCTGTGTTATTTTTAACAGGTCTGTTATTTTATAAACACACAGAAATAACAATCTGTTCACAAATAACGTGTCTGTTAAAAATAACATTACTTGTCCATCATAACCCCGTAATTTTATAATTCAATAACCGGATTGCATGTTATACCTAAAAAATCCCTTTCTTCTCTTCAGCGTGTCGTTGTAGAGGAACAGCACCCTCTTTTTCTCCCTTTTTCTGTAAAAATACGAACAAATGACTCTTCTGCATCTCAAGGCGTAAGCTTGAATGAACGTGAATATTATTATGGCCAGATATGTACCGTATATTTTGAAATGGTAATAATGCGGCAATAACAGCGGTCTTGGAAGACATATCGCGTTAGATCTTTCAATGCGGATCCTTTTTTTAACGTTAAATCCTTTTACTAGAGACCTCAGCAGCGAGGCTATCATACCAGTACCTAAAATACAAATATGACCAGTTAAAATACTATCTCCTACCCTAGTTGCCACTTTGGGCGCCAATTTGTTACGTAAAGAAACTTTAAAAATAGTAAAATAACAAAATGTAATGAATTTATTTAACCGGGAACCTCGATATTGTGTAATTTTAGTAGGTAGTGACATTATGCAGGCATAGAGAGGGCTGAGTTGCCACTTTGGGCGCCAATTTGTAACGTCAAGAAACCTTAAAAATAGTAAAATAAGAAAATGTAATGAATTTATTTAACCGAGAACCTTGATATTGTGTAATTTTAGTAGGTAGTGGCATTATGCAGGCATACGATCAAAGTTGAGTCATAGATAGGGCTGATATAGCGATCACATTCATCTAACCTTTAACATCTAACAACAAATCATGATGTCCAACTTGCAAGTAATTAATTTTGGCGTGTCTCCTAATGATATCCAAAGCCTCGTAGAAAATTCTATCCAACAACACCAAAATCGTTATGATCAACATTTCGAAGGCCATCAAAAACAAATCGGACTTCAATTGTTGGCGTTCTACTTTCAACGGTTTCGGGGAAAATGGATCAGTCAATTTTTTTCGTTCGATTTTCTTCAGTGGCAGCAACGTATACTTCTGTTGGGCTCTACGTCTGGCGTCTATTTTTCTGAAATACCTAAATCAGCATTACAGGGTGGACGGATCAATTATTAATATTTAGTTACTTACCAAGTTATATAAATGTTATCGAACTCAATATCTCTCAAATATTTATCGTGGTACTTCTGTGATTCTTGTAGAATTCTCAAAAAGACGAAAGCCAGTATACGTTTAACGAAAATCAAAATTTTCATCAAAACACGTTTCTTCTTGTTGACCTCATGCCAAATGGCTTTGGCCGTGTCTCTGGCATCTCTGACGTCTTTCAAAGGTTTAACGTTCCCCATCTGATATTGGAGCTTTACGTCTTTGAAATTTTTAGACAGGAAGCTCCTGGATTGTTTCAGGTAGGAGTAACCTTCGCCGAATCCTAAAAAAGAAGTCTCAATAATACTTAATCTTTTTGGAGCGCTTGAAACCAACCTGGATCCGTATCCTTTGACGGATCGCATCTACTCATACCGCCCAGAGCTTCGGCTATATTGCATATAAAGTCCAATTTCATTGGCCAGCAGAGCAACCAGGCTGCCACCCACGTGACAGTGTCGTAGCACTTGTCGTAACCCTTCTGGAACATGTCGCGACATTTTATAGACGCCTTAGCGAATTGATTTTCGCATCTTTGTTCGATTTTCTTCATGTACATTTTTTCGTATCGAATAGCTTCCACTTTTTCTCCTATAAAACACAAAATACATAATATAAGAGATGAAATAGAGAAAGAAATGAAAGAGAGAAAAGGGGGAAAAGAAGAAATAATATTTAATCCTTTTAGACATTAAAAAAAATATAGAACAAGTCAGGTGTATATGTAAGTCGTTAGTAAGACGTAGAACTAATAGCGGTCACAATACAAACCCCTGAGGAACTCTCAAATCAAGATCTGCTGTCATGGTTCGGTTATTAATAAAACAAAAAGATATTCAGAGAAAATTATTACGCATACAGTTTATTTGCAATAAATTTAAAGATAAGACGATCAAAAGCACGTGAAAGATCGAAGAACAAAGCAGCAACATCAAGATCATCATTTTAAAATATGTATAATGGTAGCCATTTTTAATATAGATGAAAATTTACCAAATGACAATGACAGGTTGATAAGGAAAGCAAAGTGTACTGCAATGTGAACAGCGTCAGATTTTAATATTTTAGCAGAGAGAAAAGGAAGAAAAGAGAGAACCCCACCTTTTGTTTCATATTTATCGGCCACCAAGTCGGACTGCTTGGTATCGTGCATGATGGCGTCCAAATAATCGTTTTCTTCTTTAATCTTCCTCATTTCCGATTCGTCTTCTACTTCCCCCGTTATGGGAGCCGAAACGTCTTTTATGGACCTTATGGTATCTTTGACCTCGTTCATGTCTGTCTTCATTCCAAAAATAGCTTGAGTAAACGGCTTGAACATTAATTCGAATCTGGTTAAAGAAAAAATGTTACTGTTTCTTTCAAATACACATTATCAAGTCAGGTTTAAGTTGACTGGAACAGTAATGTCATCTTCCACACCTTCAAAGCTGTAACCTTCATTTATTTTTTCTATTAGTTCTTCTAAATGTTTAAAACAACTATTCTAGTGTCTCCTCTGTAATAAACTTGGCTGAGGGTTAAAACTAAAGTCTCACAGATTAAATATCCACCTTAGAATTAGTTTTATTGTATTAGCAACACAGCGGGCTTCACACAGAACAATGAATAATCAAAATGTCAACTGTCATATGTCATTGTACAGTACCAACTTAAAATATTAAATATTAGTTAGGCATTTTATAAAGGTTCTAACACCCCTTTATCATAACTGTTTGCAACAACCAGAAATGGTTCTGAAAAGTATATATATGCTATGAAAAACTGTACTTACCTCGTTTTGGTCATATTAAAGGTGAGAGACGCTGTACAGGCAAACACCCGCACCACTTCTCGTCCATTATTGGTCATATTTTCGACGGGTCCAGCTATAACGAAAGCTATAACTACGGCTTTCAGCACGGATCTGCCAACTTTGCCGCCGAAATTGGGGAAACTCAAGCATATAATGCAACGGATTTGAGAGGAGAACCCGTAGCCTATTGCTAACATTAAACATAATATTCCTCCTACAATTAGTCCTGAAACAAATCAAATCAAATAATACAGAAGAAATACAACAAGTGTGTGTGCAGGATTAGACTAGATTAGATTTCGCGAAGAATATGGACCATGTAGTTGGTTAAAGTATATTGTCTAGTTTGATCTTTTGTAGTAGACTCCATAGACAAGGAAGTAGCTCTCTGGTGAAGCTAATTGCCCTTCTCTAAAGTGTAAGGAATCTTAGTCTTACAAAGCTCTTCTCCTGGAAAACTTGTGGAACCGACTAGTCATATTTTTGTTCCATACTCTGTTGATGTAGTTAGGAGACCTGTAAAAATTTAGCGGTGCAAAGTATCGGTATTAGTACACAGCTTATCCTATTGTTATATAAGATACATGCTCACGTGTTTTAGACCTTTCATTTTATAATACCTTACCTTGATCGGGTTTTAGTCATGCTATTTTTCCTCCATGTAAGTCTATTAACGGCATTGTAGGCTTGACAAAAATAGGTATCGGTCTGATAGAAGAGACCTTGTACCGATTCTGGCAAGAAGAACAGAAAACTGCAGAGCATGTATTGTGTTACTGAGATGGTCTATCAATTCTGAGATTCTTTACACTTGGAAAAGAAAAACTACTTCTTAGTCTATGAAGGATATACACAAAGGTCTGAAAAGGTGGGGGTGACCACACTGTTCACAGTCCTAATTAAATCTAAAGTACCAGTGACGTGCATTTATCCATTTTAAGTAAACGAAGGAGTTGTAAAACGATGACCAGAAGGCAAATGTACGGTAGGGATTCCCAAAGTGATCGATACCGACCAGGTTCATCCATCACACTGAATTTTTTTTTCTCTATCTAGAGATTGGATTTTTATAAAGTAATTTTGCTATGGGGGTCTGAGGAATTAGTTCATTTTGGAAAATTGGTCTCTGGTCCAAAATAGTTTGGGGATCCTTGATCTAAAATCTAGACCTAGGTCCTCGTTTTGCATATCCAGGCTCCTTGGAACTTTGGATATTTACGATATATAGACAGTTCATACCCTGAGGCTATATAAATCGATTTACAAAAGTATTTCTAATAGAGATACTCATTTAGAAAGATTTTTCTTTATAAATATAAAAAAAATACTAACCTGCATCTTCTGTAAACTCCAGATCGACGATGATGAACTTGTAGAATAATATTCCCAATATTACTCCGAAAAAGAAGCCGAACGTTCGTTTCAAATGTTTGTGTTCATTCGGTCTAGTGCAAAAGAGGTTTTTAAAAAGGGGAACTTTTTTCTTGCACTTTTTGAAAAATACGGTTATTCTGTCTCTAGCCATTTTGAGTGAAATAATATGTCAAAATTAAATATACACAAGGTGGTAATATCAATAAAGTTAAAGAAACATTCAAAATGGTAGAAGATAAATTATTATTTTCCAAATTAGTATAATAATTAATAAAAATTAAAGTCACTTTAGATTCATATTAAAGATGGAATTACCACACTGAAAAAATTACTATTATACAGTGATCTACAAAAAAATCTTTCTTAGAAAATTTCAATAGTTTAGATTTATTTCAGTGCCGTACGTAGTTAATCACGGACATGGTTCGTATCTTTCTCTTTATCGGAACTGTTGAGTACCGACCTATCGCGCACTCGAAATCGACACAGAGCAGAAGCCAGGGCTGCCGCGGAGATATTTAGAAATGTACCAGAAAATTCAAGGAAAATGTACTAAAAATTGTACTAATTTTTAGGCACATACTTTGATTTTCTTTTACTATACGGAGAATGGTCGCACTGCTCAGCTGTCTGAGTGCATTTTAAAAGGAGATAGAAAACTCCGCCATTTTGAACCCTTATTACGTGTTGCCTACATCTTGACGCAATATTTTTAATAGGTGCGTTTTAATCATCCGCTTCTGCTTCGAAATTGTCGGTTTTCTTGTTTTAATCTGACAGGTTAAAACGACTAAACCGACAATTCCGGAAGCAGAAGCGAATGATTAAAACGCACCTGATATTTTGCTTGCTGCTGTCAGTGTCAGTGAATATTATTTTTGAAGTCACAGTTTATTGCTAAAGAATCAGTTAGCTCACTCGGACCAGTTGAAAGTTCCAAAATAACATCCACTCCAGGGGGTCGATTCTCGAGTTGTAGGAATTTGATTCCGAGGAAAATGAATTCCTATGATAATATTCCTACAGTTTTAGTTGTCGGTATTCTCGAGTACAATAGGAATCCAATTTCCTGTAGGAGTTCCAATTTCAGTATGTCGTTGATAATTTCAAGATAACGCAGAAACGAGCCAATGGAATGTATTTATTTCAGTTAAATATAGTTGTTTAACAGTTGGCAACAAGGCAATTTGTCAAAAATATTTGATTTTCTGGATGTACTGGTTATTTATTTTTAATATTTTTTATTAGCAGCAAAAAGAGAAAACGAAAAAGTTTCAGAAGGACTACCATTGTGATTACCGTTATTCAGGGCCGAGGGACTAATTCCCGGGGGCCGGAACTCAAATGGGGGCCCGGCAGCGGTATAAGGGGGGCCCGGCAACTGGAATTTTTGTTTTGTATGAGAAAAGAAATTCGACACAAGACGAGAGGGGGAAGTTTTATAGGTTCGAAAGCTTTTTTTTTTTTAGAAAATTGAATCCAAGTAGAGGAGGAAAAGTTTTTGTTTGAAGAGCTGTTTTTTTGTCACGGGGCCCGATCTAGAGAATTGTCCTGGGGCCCGGCTTGGCTCTCGGCGGCCCTGCCGTTATTTATATTTATAAGTAGAAACTAAAGAAAGTAACTAGTTCAAATGTTTTTCATACACCAAAAGGTTAATGCTTGTATCCTCTAATTTCTAATTTGAAATACAAAAATATAGGAATACTTTCAATATTTACCAAATTATTGTAAAATTCACATCATACATCATTATAACTTGGTTTGGGCTCCGTCGAGGAATCCTGATGTGCGAATTTCAAACAAGACTCAAAAGTACCTAACTAGTTTCTTTGGTAAATTTTCATAAATAATTTATGGATTTTGGTTTACTTTATTTATTGACTTAAAGACATTTCAAATAGGATAATTTTACTCAAATTAAAATTAACTTTTAATAATATATGTAGTATGTTTCTTTTTAAATGAGTTTGGAATCGCCTAAAAAGTAAGCATAAATCAATAACCACATTAAACAAGCTACTATTGCGCAAGCCCGATTACAAAATCTTGTAGGAAAATTAAATTCCCTGTCTCATGAGCATGGGAATTCATTTCCTATAACTGCTTAGGAAAATATTCCTACAACTTGACTCCAGAATACGTAACCTACTTTCCTATAGGAAAAACAACCAAATTCCTATAGGAAAAAAGTCGAGAATCGACCCCCAGGGATACAAATTCAGGATACGCAGAAGACTGCTGTTTTATTATAGGCGGTTGTCATATATTGTATTATCCGAGTTGCACAGTGTATAAACTGAAACATTGAGATCAAAAGTGCCGACGCAGAGTGAGCGATCTGATTCTTTAGCTGTAAACTGTGTCACAGAGTTCAAAATGGCCGCGCCCTATGTTGGGCGTGTCCAATGAACTGGAGGGGGGTAGAATGCCAATGTACATGTTGTACTATTAGAACAAGGTGCGACTCGATGGGTGCAGCCATTTTTATTGTTCATCTCACTTGGGACTATTTATAATAACCATTTTCTGTTTCACATTGTTATTGTTCAATCCACAAGCTGGTGGATCAGACAATAACAATGTGAAATAGAAACTGGCTATTTTAAATACTCCCGAGTGAGATAAAAAATAACCTATCTTCGCCCATAGAGTCGCACATCAAGTCTATTGACAAGCATTCTACCCCACTCCAGTTCATTGGGCGTGTCGGACCTCTCTCTTGCCTCGTAATCAAAGGGTAAGTTCGGTTTGGAACTCGACGGATCGGACAGAGCGCGCACGGGGTACGTGACGTCATAGATAGAGTTCGCTCTTTCTACAATTTCAAAACGAACACAAGGGGAATGACAAATGACACTAGTGATAGTTTACACTTGAATACACTTTTGTTTGTGTGTATGGACTGTAAAAAAATAATTTTAATCAAATAGGAAATAGTTATAACAAAAACAAACAAGAAATAATACGTGTAAAACTGATTAATCGCCGATCAGAATATTGACATTTGACATTTTTGACACATTCTTACAGATTCCCGCCTATCTCCATTGGCCAACTCGGGGAAGAGTGAGCGCGCTCCGAGTACGTGATCTGTGGCAAGCCGAACACAAAAAATTACGCTCTGAGTGCCAAGGCGACCACAATTGAGGCATACCGAGTGCACTCTGAGTACAGCGCACGCCAATCCGAACTCAGCCAAAGTATGTGTTTTTAGGTCTTTTAGGTGGACTGTCATTTGTCAAAACTGTCACGTATATTTGCTGCGTTTGAGAATCCACATCGGATGCATCTGAGATGTAGTAAATCTTTGACCACGTGATTCAGTGTACGTAAATGTAATGGGAAAGATGTGTCAGATGTGGATAAAAAAACGCTCGAGATGTAAAAAATGCATCCGATGTGGATTCTCAAACGCGGCAATTGTCAAAGTTTATCGAATGTCAACTGTAGAATGGATGGGCGTTATTTGTTTTTGTTGCTTATGTACTTTGAAAAATTGGAATTGAAATATACCACTGTAATATACTTTAATATTAATATAATTTTCTTTTAAATTTTATTATTTTAATCAAGTTTAAAAGCAAGTTTTTATATGTTTATCAAGGTAGGTACAAATAAATTGTACGATCATAACCATAGATTAGGTAAAGTGAATAGATGGGAAACTCAATGGTAATATTCTGAGTCGATGTGCTGCCATCTATCAAATTGGAGTGGTACTAAAATTCAATATGACCGCTTAACGCGGGCTTTTTGAAATTTAACCCCCTAGAATTTTACTTTCTTCACTTCAGCTGCCTGCAGCCATTGTTGGAACTTGTTCCAAAAGGTAAAGTGGAGCCAACCACTCTAAAAAAACTGGCGCTTGAGCACACCCAGTTCGAACGCAGTTGAGAAAACCTCTCACATATTTCACAAGTGCTTGTACACTTTGGACTCTTCCAGACATTGCACGAGCACCATCGGTGCATATTCCAACGCAATTCTTCCCTTTATGTTTGCCTCATTAATAAAATCATTTAAAATATCAAACAAAGCGAGTACTGTTGTTTCTTTAGGTCAATCCAAGTTTCATCAGAATATAAGATGATAGTATCATCAGAATATAAGATGATAATATCATCAGCAAAACTTCTATATAGTAGGTTAGTACGTTATTTATATACAGTATAAATAAAATAGGTCCTATTACGGTACCTTGTGGTACACCAAAATTTATTTATAATTTACTACTTACCTCTCCGTCTATCCTGACTACTTGATTTATACCTTCAAATAGCTCTGCATTAAATATCATGAACTTTTCCAAGTACTTCTGCATCCTCCAAGACATCCAACAGTTGTGTGTGGCTAACCGTGTTAAATGCCTTGGCTGGATCCAGAAATACGCAAGCAGTTGGAGTGCGTGTATCACTAATATTTCCGTCAATATTCTCCTTTGAAAGCCAAATTGAATTTGTCAAGATATGTGGTAAATTGCGTTGTTATTACATTTTCTAAAATCATACTCAAAGTTTTAATTAACGATATAGTCTGTAATTCGTTTGTAATTTTCGGTTTCCTTTTTTATGTATTGGAACAACTAGAGTCGTTTTAAATTGTCTAGGCCATTGTCCAGCCTGAAAAGTAGTATTTATTAAATAAACTAAGGGATAGTTAATTATAGATACTTTTTTTACAACTTCAGGTTTAATATTATCTATTTCTGGTGCTTTATTTAATTTTAGAGTTGATATAATATTACTTAGTTCATATTCACTAACAGGTAATAGAAATAATTTATCATTCGCTTATTTTTCATTAGGTTCCACTTTTTTTTTGGTATTTTCCAACTTTTGAGAAGTAGATATTAAACTCTTCAACTATTAATTTTTATCTTTACATATTATATTGTTTTCTAGAACAAGTTCTTCAATTTTTTTATCATTTACATCATTTGTTATATCATTTATTATTTTCAAAAGGGTTTTAGTTGAACTATTATTTTTAAGAATTTGTTTTATGTAATTAATAATCCTTTTTTATTATTTTAGTGAGTTTATTTAAATTTTTGCGATATTTTATAACTCCAGGTGTCACCCATTTTTTTTCTTTCTTTATTTGTACTTTTTATTTTTATCATTCTAGTATGTTTCTTTATAAATGAAGCTGTTTAGAGTTTCGATTAGATATTTACTAATATTAGTCATCAATATTGTTAATGTCATCAACGTCTTCAATGTTTGATTTTAAAAAATTGGAAAAACCCAAAGATACTGGATATCTGGACATGTAGGTCGTATGTTATTATAAACAAGATAAATATTTTTACAAAACAAGATAAAAAAAGCCAGTCGCATAAAACCATGTTATTTTAAGTCCTGGTCGCATTATTGTGGCTAATATTCCCCAATAAATGTTAGAAGTAAACACAGATCACCAATATCAAATAAAATTTTGCTAAAAAACGTTTTACGATAGGAATAGTAGTTTGTGTAACAAGAGTGGTTATGACGAAATCTACAAA